TCCGAGGCTTGCCCAAAAGTCGGTCAGTCTTTATCAAGAAAACCATCCCTAACCCCCAATCGGCGACAGTATAGATGGACGTTGGGCCGACAAGAACGAAAGTGAAAGCAAATTAATAGTATCTGTCGGTATAAACGTCAACTAGTTTACACTACCTTTCCATATTTCCTTTTTCGAGTCAAAATATGGACATCACTTTTTTCGAACTATCCACTCTCGTCCAAACGAGGCTTCCATTGCGCTTAAAGTGAAGTATTCAGCATCTGTTGTCTCTTCGATCATAGTCGAGACGCTCACCTTGTGTTTCTCAGGTTGCTTTACTAGTTAAAATGAGTTTCTACGGGACATAGAACATTGTCTGGATGAAAGACGGAAAGTCTGAATTCTTACAGGTTGCGTAGAAGTGACACTTTATCGACTCGACTAATTACAAGCCAAAAAGGGGCAACTCAGTCTCCTTCTCCTTTTTAGGTATTTATTTTACCTTCTGAGGTGTCCGCATAGGTTTTTTTCAATGGCGATACTGACGCTACTTCCTGTCTTTCGGAAAATATACCTCTTTGAGATGTGACATAGTACACGGATTGGGACGACTTAACAACGGTGTTTAGCCTCAAGAATCACTTTTGCGTGGCATCCATCGATTTCATTAGATGCTTTAGAAGATACTCGTGATTTACTATCACCGAGGTGGCGACCACTTTTAGTCAGCTCAACCTAAAAATGCGGTTTGAGTTTAATTTCCATGCCTGACACAATACATGAAAGTTGCAGGCAGAAGGTCGAGAATGCAGACAGCCATTCCACTTTATGTGGTGTACTTGCATAGTGCCTGTATGGTGAATGGCTCAAGAACTCAGAGTTGGGGTTAATGCTTTCTTTCAAATGCGGTCTCTCATGTCTTTCACAAGAACATGAACGCCGAGCCGTCTTTGCTGTGAAGTCCTGTTGCATCTGGCCGATATTATCTCGTGTGTGGCACGCGTAAACCGGCTGCTTAGTATAACCAGTCGCAGTGCTTGAACTCACCTTTGGTCGTCTTGGCAGTGTCCTGCGACCGGAGCAATGTAATCGAGGGGACAGAAGCCGCGGTAGGCACTCCGGGAGTCCGCTCACTCATGCTCTTTGAGCACACGGCAGGCATCGTCGCTCGCCACGGTCGAAATCTCACTAATAATAGCAAACATGACACGAAAAGTGACACGAAAATGACACGGAGTGAACCACAAATACTACGCAGTTCCACAGAATATATAGCGGTTGCTGGAACAAAGGTTAGAGGTGACTCGTTTGCAGCATTACCTCTGATGCAAATTTTGCTGGGCTTCAGAATCCACCTGAAACACCCTGAGATAAGTTATAACGTCAAAGGCAGCACTCGCTGCTATTTGCTTTAGAAAATAACACAGGGAATGGCGAAGAAAGAAAAATACTTCAGAATAGTTACCTTCAGACTGATTACGTCTGATTCGCACTACAGAGGGCCTCTGACCACATGGGCGGCTCTTGACTCGTCTTAGCTTTAGGTCCTGTGAGGACTGAGTGCGACGACTATGGTTTGGCTTGGAGTCACTCTCAGCTACGCCAAGGGTCAGTTTTCGAGGTTTTCCCGTAGGTGAGAGCTCAAGGCTGAGGCTCCACCGGGGACTTGGTAAGTTGGAACGGCAAGCTCTCGGCAATTCCGGTGAAGAGGGTGTCGAGATGGTCGACGAGGTATGCTGACTCGGTTCTGGCTCAGTAAAAATTGTCGACGAGCTGAGGTAAAGTTCGGGTACCTTGGTCTGAGATTCAAAGAGAACAACAATTTACTGACAGGAAAAACGTGTAAAGAACCTAAAAGACATCCGAAGGATATTCAAAAAGTAAAGGAAACAAATTAATTTAGGAAGGGACGGCTTTCTCTGCTAACAGGCTGTTATTTAGCCAATAATTTCTTCAAGGAGGGTTATGAAGTTGGATTCTAGGGTGACCATCTTACCAATGTCGAAACCATATTTAAGGGTCAAAGCTTGTGGATATCACAAATTAAGTGGGCGCGGCACTCCTATTCCCCTGTCCTGTTTAGGCGACATGCAAGCCATCCTCACCAAAATAAGCCTAGAATGGACCAGAACGTTCCCAGAAAATAGCCATACGATTAATTATAATCGAACTGAGAATTTGCCTGAATGTCTAGAGGACAGGGGACTTGTGCCTACTCGAGGTTTCTGTCATTAGGTAAACAGCTCCTATCTTTCCTTACCGGGGCAGAGAGGAATCCCTGCTCCGGCTCGTGTTATGCACTCCTTAACTCACACAGTACTAGTGGTTTTTCTGTCCAGGCTTGCTCCGCTCCAGCCCGGAGGCGTCTCCAAGAGGCATGTTTTAGTAAGTATGCGTCTAGTTGGTGTGAATCCTGACCACTGCAATGAATAAGGTGCTAAAACGGCAGACCTGTTCTTTTCTCAGCGCAAAAGAGAACCCCGTGTCGAGGATCAGTTTCTCGACAAGCCTGACAACCCCCACCCTTTCATATGACCATCACCCTGTCAGTTTTTTTAGAAAGAGGGGGGGCGGGGCGGAGAGATATGCGTGACTGGAAACGCCCTAAATTTTTGAAAGCAAAACACAATTCAGTGGTTGCCACAGGCGACCACAGGCTGTGAAGTACGCATTTGCTCAAAAAGGAAACAGAATAGAAGGTGCCCAAGGTAGATAGGATAGGCCGTAGC